GGCCGCCGCGCTCCATTGATTCGAGTTGGCGCCGCAGGTTTCCAGAAGCCGCGTATTCTGGAAACCTCTCCCTTAGGTCAGTTGTCCCCTGCGTGGGCTTTGACCTGTCTCCCTGTTTGATCGCGGGGGAGGCTGCCTCGAGCCCTGCCTTCGGGAATGTGGCGGAGCAAATGCGTCGCGTCCTCATGGATTAACACGCGCTCCGGGCGCTCTTGCTGGAAGGGCCCTCAGTCCCGGGGACAGACAGGTAGCCGAGCCCGGCAGTGAGGTGAGTCCCGTCCGGGCCCGACAGCCTCCTGCCGCGGAGTGGGTGGCACTTCCCCGCCGGCTTCCTCCTCGAGGCTGCAGGGGCTCCGGCCCTGGGCCTGCCTTGGGCCCACGCAGGGCGAGGGTCTCACCTTCCCGCGCGCGGCGGGTCAGGCGGCCGCGCAGCAGTGAACCGAGTGGGGATACTTGTACGTTAGTATTTAATTCTTAAAGCCAGAGTGACACTTGTTACTTGTAGTCTTCCTGAAAGTTTGCCTGTGCGCACTAAATCTTAAGTTGTTACAATCTATCAAGAGTAATATTAGGCTGTTTTAGAGCAGCCACTGTTGCTTTCCTCAGTTTCCTTCTGAGCCTCTGGTCCCAAAAGCTTTGTTACCGTTTTGAAAACGAGGCAAAGCCTTGCAGAGGAGGCTGCTCCTGGCAGTCACCTGGTCTGAGGCGGTGAGGGGCAGAGGACTTGGGAAGTTTAGGTCCCGTCCAGAGCCTCCTGAGTCTGCGGGTCCTGGTCCACAGCGGCAGGTGCGTGACATGACCTCAGGGAGCAAATGGCCCACGTGCACAGCTTGGTCAGAGTTTCTAAGTGCAGATCTTGTCTGAATGGGAAGAAATGATTGTGTGTCTCATTCAGCATCTTCCATGGGTGGGAATGTAGCGGGAACTCAGAACTACACGTTTGAGTCTGACATCCTATGAGAGCTAGTCTCCCATCCTCAGCTGCTAGAGTCACAGGGCCAGGCATAGGGCTGGGCTGCTGGGATGCTCTGCTGGCCTCTGGCTCCCATCTCTGCTCGCCCACACCTCCTCTGGCTTCTAAATAGGGCAGCCAGCCCGGCCGGGCGTGGCTCAGACCTAGGATTCAGGCATTCGGGGTTCAATTCCCAGTCGGGGCACATGCCCAGGTTGTAGGCTCTATCTCTAGGTGGGGGCGTGCAAGAGGCAGCCAATCAATGACTCTCTCATCATTGATGTTTCTATCTCTGTCTCTCCTCCTTTCCTCTCTCTGAAATCAATAAAGATATATTAAAAAAAAAAAAAAAGGGGGCAACCAGCTCTAGCTGGTTTGGCTCAGTGATTAGAGCGTCAGCCTGTGGACTGAAGGGTCCTGGGTTCGATTCCGGCCTTAGGGCATATACCTTGGTTGCAGGATGGATCTCCAGCCCTGGTCATGGTACATGCTGGAGGCAATCAGTTGGTATGCCTCTCTCCCCCACCGCCCCTTCTACTCTCGCCAAAAAGAAATGGAAAAAATATCCTCGGGTGAGGATTATAAAATAAACAGGGCGACCAGCCATCCCACTTTTAGCACCCAGAGTCCTGCATCCCAGGCACACTGGCAGGGTTGCTCAGCTGTGACCTTCTAGGAACTATTTCCCGGGCTTCCTGGAGATTTTCCTGTTGTCTGGACTCTGTCCTGTGCTTCTGCTGGCATTCTGGGAGGCATTATCTACCTTCATTCCTATGTACCCTGAGACTGTAAGCTCCTTTAGGGTAAAAACAGGTCTTCCATCTTCCCATTCCAGTAGTAATCTATAAATAGAATGTGTTCCTTAAATGTTTACCAAATTTTTAAATGGGTTAAGTCAATACAGATTTGGGTGTTTGCAAAAATACTTGTTTTGCTTTTGTATTTTATAGTTAGGTGGAGACATATAATTATTTCTTTCTAATTCCTTTATTATTTGTCCTTCAGGTTCCCCCTAAAGGACTCAAAGCGTTTGATCCAGTGGTTAAAAGCTGTTCAGAGGGACAACTGGACCCCTACTAAGTATTCTTTCCTCTGTAGTGAACATTTCACCAAAGACAGTTTCTCCAAAAGGCTGGAGGATCAGCACCGCCTGCTCAAGCCCACGGCTGTGCCCTCCATCTTCCACCTGACTGAAAAGAAGAGGGGGTCTGGGGGCCATGGCCGCAGCAGGAGAAAGAACACCAGAAAGGCCTCAGGGGGCCTGAGGGGACGTGCAAGTGAAGCCGACGGGAAAGGGGCTGCAGGTTCACCATCATCCTCGAGTGAGAACCTGATGGCCAAGCCAGAGTCCCGCAAGTTGAAGCGAGCTGCCCTGCAGAGTGAAGCTGCCAATCAGGAGCAGGCACAACAGGCTATGCAGGGACCTCCAGGCAACTCTCTGGCCACAACAGCATCAGGCAGCCTGGCAGAAGCAAACAGGCCTACATGTGACACTGGGGACGAGAGCAGCACCACCCCTGACGAGGACCTGGTGGATAAGAGTGGCATTTCCATGGATGACTTTACCCCCCCAGGATCTGGGGCCTGCAAATTCATTGGCTCACTTCATTCTTACAGTTTCTCCTCCAGGCACACCCGAGAAAGGCCATCTGTCCCTCGGGAGCCTGTGGACCGGAAGAGGCCGAAGAGAGACACAGAGCCTGGCTGCAGTGGGACCAGCCTGGGGCCTGACAAGGGCCTGGCCCAGAGCCCCCCGAGTTCATCTCTGACCGCGACACCGCAGAAGCCCTCCCAAAGCCCCTCTGCACCCCCAACAGATGTCACCCCGAAGCCGGCCGCGGAGGCTGTGCAGAGCGAGCACAGCGATGCCAGCCCCATGTCCATCAATGAGGTCATTCTGTCGGCGTCGGGGGCCTGCAAGCTCATCGACTCGCTGCACTCCTACTGCTTCTCTGCAAGGCAGAACCGGAGCCGGGCCTGCTGCCTGCGGGAGCAGGTGGAGAGGAAGAACGGGGAGCTCAGGAGCCTGCGCCAGCGCGTCAGCCGCTCCGACAGCCAGGTGCGCAAGCTGCAGGAGAAGCTGGACGAGCTGCAGAGAGGAGGCATGCCATACCCGAGCAGCCTGCCTGCCCCCAGCTGCGGTCAGTACCCACCTCGGGCTCCCATGGCCTGTCCCTTAGCAGGTCTTGCTCCGCTGAGGCTCTGGTAGTAGCTGGACCCTGTGGACGGGCCCAGGTAGAGAGCTTACGCTTGGCAGCAGGGAAGCCTCTAGTTGTGAGGTCAGCTACTCTGAATGGGGCCCCAACACTTGATTTTCCCCCTTGCACAGGGTAAGGTCAGCGTCTATGGCATACCTCACACAAACATAAATTGCAAATGGGTTAGGATCTAAGTGTAAAATCAAATAGATGTAGAACATTATTAGGTTCTTTCCATTTATGTTTTCATCAATGTCTTTTTTTTAATATATTTTTATTGATTTCAGGGGGGGGGGTGAGAGAAACATCAATGATGAGAGTCATTGATCAGCTGCCTCCTGCACACCCCCTGCTGGGGATCAAGCCCGCAACCGTTGGCATGTGCCCTGACTGGGAATCAAACTCCGATCTCCTGGATCATAGGTCGATGCTCAACGCTGAGCCATACTGGCCAGGCTGAATATCCTTGAGGTTAAAGCATTTTGAACACTAACAGTAACTAAGATTTTAAACATCTCTTCAAGTAGAATTCATTGTCTTCTGTAAAAATTAAAACAGTACAGAACTATATAGGCTGAAAAGTGGTAAAAATTCCCTTCTCACCCACCTCCCAACTTTTATCCCTGCTGCTGTAAATTTGGTTTGTTATCTTTTAGATTACTTTTTATGCTCTGCCCTCCATTTTTTTGGATCTGTACAAATAGACTGGGTATATTTTTGTGTTTATTGGCTACTTCTGCTTTCCCCCTATTTTACTGTTTAGTACTTACAAAAATTGGTTTTTAGATATTCTTTACATATTGAGGATAGGATCTTTTTGCTTGTTATAGATACATGAAAACATTTTCCTGCCACGTTCACTTAATCAGATCAGAGTTTGTCTTTGGAGGTGTAATTAACACTTCAGGAGGCTCTTGTGTGACAGGCTGTTCAGGACTTCCTGGACCTCCAGGAAAACCACCATGAGCACAACCAAAAACAAAAGCAAAAACCAAAACCTATCCTGTGTGTTTCCAGATGCACCTGGGGAAGGAGCACTTCCACCTGAGGACCAACGACGTCCTGGTCAGAGTGAAACTATTCTCCTGGCATTTTTAAGTTGTTTTTTGTAGTTTCTCTGTGTTACTTTTTGGTCACTTTTTCTGTTCATCTTGGTCAGATGTCCTAAAGTTTGTCACTATTACAGATCTTTCCAAACAGCCAGCTCTCCACTCCATTGATTAAGCCGGCCTTGTTTCTACCTCATTAATCCTCGCTGCTTTCTACTCTCTTTAGTTTCATTTTATCTCAGTTTCATTTTGTGGTGGTTCTGGCTCCTGGACGGAGGAGCTTAGCTTATTCTTGTACATGTATATTTCCTGATACCTGCAGTTGAGGCCCAACCCTTCTTCGGTCCCTTTGCCTGCTCAGTGTGTATTTGCTTCATGCTGCTCTCATTGCTACTCACTTCTAAACCGCCTCTGACTTCAGTCTTGATGCCCTCTTTAACACAATTTATTTAGAAGGATAATTACAGTTTTTCAAGTGCGTAGATTGGGGGAGTGGAGCTAATTTATTTGTAAATGCTTTAAATTTTATTGCTTTAAGTTCCAGTTATGTGGCACTTAGTTGCTTTTTGGAATCTTGAGATTTCACTGTGGCTTAATCAGTCTGTTTCTGTGCTTCATTGTGGTTTGAGAAGATGTACCCTCTCCACAAGTCAGTTACATTTCTCCCGGTGGATCTGCTTATTTGTATTAGTCAACAGATCTGTTTCCTTCTCTGCCCAGTTTTGCTTTTTATTTCGAGACCATGTTGTTAGAGGTATATGTCCCTGTTACAGAAAAACCCTTTTTGTCCCATTTAAAGTTTTATTTCTTTATCTCCTTATTTTTAACCCTCCTATATCCTCTCTCCCTCTCTCTTTTTTAGACAGAGAGGAAGGGAGATTGAGAGAGAGAGAGAGAGACATCAATCAGTTGCCTTCAGTATGCGTCCCAACCAGGGACAGAACAAGCAACCTGGGCATGTGCCCTGACCGGGAATCAAACCTGCCACCTTCTGATGTGCAGGACGAAAGCTCCAACCAACTGACCACACTGACCAGGGCTCCCTTTATTTTATAGTATATTTGAACTCAGTCTGAGAGCCTTTGTCTTTTTATAGAGTAATTTAATCCATTTATAGTTGTGATTATTGGTAAGTTGGAATTTGGCCCTGATGTTTTATTTTTCAATTTGGTAAGCTTTTCCTGTTCTTCTGGTGGATGTCTTTCAGCTTTTAAAACAACCACTGAAACCTTTCTTTTAGTAACTGCTTCAGTTGATCAGTCCCTGAGTTCTACTCTCCCAGCTCCTTACCTTCTGCTCCCAGGGCCAGACCCTCCTTTTTCCCCTCCAAGCAACCATAATTAGTTGTAAGTATATATTTTATTGGTTACTTTATTCATCATTATGTATTGTATCCAAAATTTTCCTCCTTTTTGGAGATACTTATTTTTTTGGAACGCATATGACAGTAAAGTTTTGAGAGGAATTGAGGATGAAGGAGTCCCTAGGTGCTGGTGCCGGGGAGCCAGCACCCAGCCTGTTAAAGTTTTGGTTGTGTCTGCAGTGTGCTCTTGTGTGCTCACAGTGTGTGTGTGTCTGCTGTGTTGGATGAGGTAAGAAAAGCCATGAAGTTGAATAACGTTACATGGAGAAGCTGTGTAGCTGGAGAAGGGGCCAGGGCCCAGCCCAGGAGCAGGCCGTGTTTATAGAGGCACAGCTGCAGAGGATACAGGAAAGGAGATGGGAAAGGGGGAGCATGGGGCCACGGCGGGGTGGGGGCGTCCAGACAGGTAGGAGTGCTCAGAGTCATGGGAGCCAGAGGGGAAAGGGTATTCAGACAGCAGGGGTGCTTGGCCGGGTTGAATACAGCTTTGAACAGAATGGAGAAAAGATGGCTGGACTCAGCCACATGGGGTCACTGGTGACCACAGTCTCCTTGAAGTGGTGGGAATGGAGCTGGATGGGGGTGGGGGAAGCAATAAGGCTTTTAAGAGGTTTAGCCATGAAGGGGAGTTGCAAAAGTAGATGGCAGCCAAAAGGGAGCATGGCTGCAATGGAGAGTTTTATCTGTAAGGTGGAGACAAACCAGCAGGTGTCTGTGCTGAGGGGGCACAGGTGTGAGCCAGGATGGAGAGGCTGGGGAGGAGCATGCTGGGCCCTGGTGCAGTGCTGAGCTGGGCTCCAGGGCCTGGGGAGGGGTGGAGAGCAAGGGGACAGGGGCTGCCTGAACCTATGCTGTATTCCCTGGGGTCTGAGGCTGGGCACTAGCTGGAGTGGAGGGGAGGGTGCAGGATTCCGGCAGCAGTGTGGAGAGTGGGAGGAAGAGGGGGTGCCTGGCTTGATTTCCATGGCCTGCCTGGAGCTCCAGTTGGATCTCTGGTTACCACCTGCTCTCTGTCTTCTTCAAAATGTCTACTCTCGGTGGTTTCCAGTGCTGTTAAGAATTTGTTCATCAATAGGGGAATCTTTTTTTTTTTAGCAATAGTTACAGTTGATTTTTTTTTTTTAAACATATCTTTATTGATTTCAGAGAGAGGAAAGGAGGGGGGGAGAGAGAGAGAGAAACATCAATGATGAGAGAGTCATTGATCGGCTGCCTAGCCCACAACCCAGGCATGTGCCCTGACCTGGAATTGAACCCCGATTTCCTGGATCCTAGGTGGATGCTCAACTGCTGAGCCACACGCAGCCAGGCGATAGGGGAATCTTTTGATCGTTGTGTACAGGTTTCATGTCCAAGGGGCTATACATGTGTTTATTTAGTCCATTATCTTTAGTCAGGCCCTTGATTTTTGGACAGAGCAGCTAGGCCAGTGGGCTGTGGTTTCTAGGGTTCAGGGGTTGGTCCCAGTTGTGCTCTGGAAATCTGGTGCTGATTGTCCTCACAGGACATGGTGATCTGTCCTTAAGTCAGCTCTAACTTCAGGTATCATGGCGTTTTAAAACCTGGGACAGTTGTGTCAGGGAACCAGTGAGGGGGAACGTATTTCCCTCCCTGTTATTTCTTTGTTGCTTCCCTGTCTGCACCAACGCCCACCTTGCTCACGGAGGGATGGGTGTTCCTGAGATAACAAGGGTATTCGCTCTCTATCAAGTATGAGTCAACCATGCCCTCAGATTAATAATTAAATACTTGCATTTAAAAAAAAAAACACCTGTTTATTTCTCTTGTTTTATACATATAATTCTTGAATTAATCTGGAGTTTTTAAAACTTTATTGTGGAAAGTCTCGAACTTAGAAAAGTATAACCCCCCATGTACTGATCCCCAAGTTTTCAACATTTATCAATATTTGATATTATTTTACCTATATTTCTACTTACTCTCTACTTTCTTTGATTGTAATTAACAGATTGGTTTCATAGGAAAATTTTATATTTCCAGAAAAATTCAGCAAACAGTGCAGACCCCCCCTGTCTGCTATTGCTCACATAGTGCCTCACACCTGTATTGGTGGGCTTCTCATTGATTATAAGTGGGGAACCAATATGGATGCATCTTTTTTAACTGAGTCCATAGTTACATTATCACTAGTTTGTAGTTGGATTTTGACAAATGCATAAACTTTCATATCTACCATTCTAGTACTGGATCATAGAGAACAGTTGGATCACCCCCAAAATCCCAGTTCTCCACCCATTCATCCCTCCCAACCCCAGCAACCACTGATCTTTTTACTGTTTTTATGGTTGTGCCTTTTCTCAAATGTCATATAATTGGAATATATGGATACTATGGACTAGGATCTGTAGTGTTTCCAGGTTGGCTTCTTTCACTTAGCAATATGTCTCTGTGGTGTGATAGCTCATTTCATTTTTTTAAAAATATTGAATCAAAATACATGTAACAAAGAGTTTGTTGTCTTAGTCATTTTCAAGTGTCCCCATCAGTGGTTTTTACATTCACATTGTTGT